ATACAGCACAGTATATAGTATATACACATACAGCACAGTATATAGTATATATATCACACAGCACAGTATATAGTATATATCACACAGCACAGTATATAGTATATACATCACACAGCACAGTATATACATCATCACACAGCACAGTATATAGTATATATATCACACAGCACAGTATATAGTATACATCACACAGCACAGTATATAGTATATATATCATACAGCACAGTATATAGTATAGATCACACAGCACAGTATATAGTATATATCACACAGCACAGTATATAGTATACATCACACAGCACAGTATATAGTATATATCACACAGCACAGTATATAGTATATACATCATACAGCACAGTATATAGTATACATCACACAGCACAGTATATAGTATATATCATACAGCACAGTATATAGTATATATCATACAGCACAGTATATAGTATATACATCACACAGCACAGTATATAGTATATATCACACAGCACAGTATATAGTATATACATCACACAGCACATTATATAGTATATACATCACACAGCACAGTATATAGTATATATCACACAGCACAGTATATAGTATATACATCACACAGCACAGTATATAGTATATATACATCACACAGCACAGTATATAGTATATATCACACAGCACAGTATATAGTATATATATCACACAGCACAGTATATAGTATATATCACACAGCACAGTATATAGTATATACATCACACAGCACAGTATATAGTATATACATCACACAGCACAGTATATAGTATATATCACACAGCACATTATATAGTATATACATCACCACAGCACAGTATATAGTATATATATCACACAGCACAGTATATAGTATATATCACACAGCACAGTATATAGTATAGATCATCACAGCACAGTATATAGTATATACATCATACAGCACAGTATATAGTATATATCACACAGCACAGTATATAGTATATACATCACACAGCACAGTATATAGTATACATCACACAGCACAGTATATAGTATCATCACACAGCACAGTATATAGTATATACATCACACAGCACAGTATATAGTAGTATATATCACACAGCACAGTATATAGTATATATCACACAGCACAGTATATAGTATACATCACACAGCACAGTATATAGTATACATCACACAGCACAGTATATAGTATATACATCACACAGCACAGTATATACAGTCAGGTCCATAAATATTGGGACATGGACACAATTCTAACATTTTTGGCTCTATACACCACAATGGATTTGAAATGAAATGAACAAGATGTGCTTTAACTGCAGACTGTCAGCTTTAATTTGAGGGTATTTACATCCAAATCAGGTGAACGGTGTAGGAATGACAACAGTTTGCATATGTGCCTCCCACTTGTTAAGGGACCAAAAGTAATGGGACAGTTGGCTTCTCAGCTGTTCCATGGCCAGGTGTGTGTTATTCCCTCATTATCCCAATTACAATGAGCAGATAAAAGGTCCAGAGTTCATTTCAAGTGTGCTATTTGCATTTGGAATCTGTTGCTGTCAACTCTCAAGATGAGACCCAAAGAGCTGTCACTATCAGTGAAGCCATCATTAGGCTGAAAAAACAAAACAAACCAATCAGAGAGATAGCAAAAACATTAGGCGTGGCCAAAAACAACTGGAACATTCTTAAAAAGAAGGAACGCACCGGTGAGCCCAGCAACACCAAAAGACCCGGAAGACCACGGAAAACAACTGTGGTGGATGAGCGAAGAATTCTTTCCCTGGTGAAGAAAACACCCTTCACAACAGTTGGCCGGATGATTTATGATTATTATTCTGTCCCATTACTTTTGGTCCCTTAACAAGTGGGAGGCACATATGCAAACTGTTGTAATTCCTACACCGTTCACCTGATTTGGATGTAAATACCCTCAAATTAAAGCTGACAGTCTGCAGTTAAAGCACATCTTGTTCATTTCATTTCATATCCATTGTGGTGTATAGAGCCAAAAATGTTAGAGTTGTGTCCATGTCCCAATATTTATGGACCTGACTGTAATATACATCATACAGCACAGTATACAGTACCCCCCCCTGCCCTGGCCCTGTATAGTACCCTGTACCCAGGAGATGGCTCCCTGGACCTGTATAGTACCCTGTACCCAGGAGTTGGCTGCCCTGGCCTGTATAGTACCCTGTACCCAGGAGATGGCTGCCCTGGACCTGTATAGTACCCTGTACCCAGGAGATGACTGCCTGGACCTGTATAGTACCCTGTACCCAGGAGATGGCTGCCCTGGACCTGTATACTACCCTGTACCCAGGAGATGGCTGCCCTGGACCTGTATAGTACCCTGTACCCAGGAGATGGCTCCCCTGGACCTGTATAGTACCCTGTACCCAGGAGTTGGCTGCCCTGGCCCTGTATAGTACCCTGTACCCAGGAGATGGCTGCCTGGACCTGTATACTACCCCTGTACCCAGGAGTTGGCTGCCCTGGCCTGTATAGTACCCTGTACCCAGGAGATGGCTGCCCTGGACCTGTATAGTACCCTGTACCCAGGAGATGGCTGCCCTGGACCTGTACCCAGGAGATGGATACCCTGTACCCAGGAGATGACTGCCCTGGACCTGTATAGTACCCTGTACCCAGGAGATGGCTGCCCTGGACCTGTATAGTACCCTGTACCCAGGAGATGGCTGCCCTGGACCTGTATACTACCCTGTACCCAGGAGATGGCTGCCCTGGCCCTGTATAGTACCCTGTACCCAGGAGATGGCTGCCCTGGACCTGTATAGTACCCTGTACCCAGGAGATGGCTCCCCTGGACCTGTATAGTACCCTGTACCCAGGAGATGGCTGCCCTGGACCTGTATAGTACCCTGTACCCAGGAGATGGCTCCCTGGACCTGTATAGTACCCTGTACCCAGGAGATGGCTGCCCTGGACCTGTATAGTACCCTGTACCCAGGAGATGGCTGCCCTGGACCACCAAAATGTATAGTACCCTGTACCCAGGAGATGACTGCCCTGGACCTGTATAGTACCCTGTACCCAGGAGAGAGGCTGGCTGCCCTGGACCTGTATAGTACCCTGTACCCAGGAGATGGCTGCCCTGGACCTGTATAGTACCCTGTACCCAGGAGATGGCTGCCCTGGACCTGTATAGTACCCTGTACCCAGGAGATGGCTGCCCTGGACCTGTATAGTACCCTGTACCCAGGAGATGGCTGCCCTGGACCTGTATAGTACCCTGTACCCAGGAGATGGCTGCCCTGGACCTGTATAGTACCCTGTACCCAGGAGATGGCTGCCCTGGACCTGTATAGTACCCTGTACCCAGGAGATGGCTGCCCTGGACCTGTATAGTACCCTGTACCCAGGAGATGACTGCCCTGGACCTGTATAGTACCCTGTACCCAGGAGATGACTGCCCTGGACCTGTATAGTACCCTGTACCCAGGAGATGACCCTGTACCTGGAGATGGCCTGGACCTGTATAGTACCCTGTACCCAGGAGATGGCTGCCCTGGACCTGTATAGTACCCTGTACCCAGGAGATGGCTGCCCTGCTACCCAGGAGATGGACCTGGACCTGTATACCCTGTACCCAGGAGATGGCTGCCCTGGCCTGTATACCCTGGACCCTATAGTACCCTGTACCCAGGAGATGGCTGCCCTGGACCTGTATACACCCTGTACCCAGGAGATGGCTTGGAGATAGGCTGCCCTGTACCCAGGAGATGGCCTGTATAGTACCCTGTACCCAGGAGATGGCTGCCCTGGACCTGTATAAGTACCCTGTACCCAGGAGATGGCGGACCTGTATAGTACCCCTGGACCTGTACCTGTATAGTACCCTGTACCCAGGAGATGACTGCCCTGGACCCTGTATAGTACCCTGTACCCAGAGGAGATGACTGCCCTGGACCTGTATAGTACCCTGTACCCAGGAGATGACTGCCCTGGACCTGTATAGTACCCTGTACCCTTGGAGATGGCTGCCCTGGACCTGTATAGTACCCTGTACCCAGGAGATGGCTGCCCTGGACCTGTATAGTACCTGTACCCAGGAGATGGCTGCCCTGGACCTGTATAGTACCCTGTACCCAGGAGATGACTGCCCTGGACCTGTATAGTACCTGTACCCAGGAGGATGGCTGCCTGGACCTGTATAGTACCCTGTACCCAGGAGATGGCTGCCCTGGACCTGTATAGTACCCTGTACCCAGGAGATGGTACTGCCCTGGACCTGTATAGTACCCTGTACCCTGACCTGTATACTACCCTGTACCCAGGAGATGGCCCTGCCCTGCCCTGGACCTGTATACTACCCCCTGTACCCAGGAGATGGCTGCCCTGGACCTGTATAGTACCCTGTACCCAGGAGATGGCTGCCCTGGACCTGTATAGTACCCTGTACCCTGTACCCAGGAGATGTACCCAGGGTAGATGCCCTGGACCTGTATAGTACCCTGTACCCAGGGAGATGGCTGCCCTGGACCTGTGCTGGGTCCGGGTAAAGTCCCTCTTGGCCTGCTGGCCGTAGTGACCAATCCTGATTTTACCTACTATACCCCACTAGGGGCGCTAGGATCAGACCTGGAATTAGGGGAACCAAACCCACAGAAGAAATCTACAGAGACAAGGGGAAGCCCATCCATCACCTAAGGACACAAAACTGAGGCTTAGCTGAGCTGGGCGGGGTTATGCCTGGGCGGGGTTTATGCCTGGGCGGGGTTTCCTGCCTTCTTTTTTGCCAGTGTCCATTCTCCTAATGGTGGCAGCATAACCCAGCAATATCAACTCCCCTCTGTCCTGTGATGTATGATGAAGCAGCAGTACAAACCAATGCAGGGGAATCTCCTCATTGTGGGAGGGGCAGAGACACAAAACCACCGGGGGAATCTCCCCATTGTGGGAGGGGCAGAGACACAAACCACCGGGGGAATCTCCTCATTGTGGGAGGAGCAGAGACACAAACCACCGGGGGAATCTCCCCATTGTGGGAGGGGCAGAGACACAAACTACTGGGGGAATCTCCTCATTGTGGGAGGGGCAGAGACACAAACTACTGGGGGAATCTCCTCATTGTGGGAGGGGCAGAGACACAAAAACTACTGGGGGAATCTCCTCATTGTGGGAGGGGCAGAGATACAAACTACTGGGGGAATCTCCCCATTGTGGGAGGGACAGAGACACAAACTACTGGGGGAATCTCCCCATTGTGGGAGGGGCAGACATACAAACTGCTGGGGGAATTTCCCCATTGTGGGAGGGGCAGAGAAACAAACTACTGGTGGAATTCCCCATTGTGGGAGGGGCAGAGACACAAACCACCGGGGGAATCTCCCCATTGTGGGAGGGGCAGAGACACCCACTACTGGTGGAATCTCCCCATTGTGGGAGGGGCAGAGACACAAACCACCGGGGGAATCTCCCCATTGTGGGAGGGGCAGAGACACAAACTACTGGGGGAATCTCCTCATTGTGGGAGGGGCAGAGACACAAACTACTGGGGGAATCTCCTCATTGTGGGAGGGGCAGAGACACAAACTACTGGTGGAATCTCCCCATTGTGGGAGGGGCAGAGATACAAACTACTGGTGGAATCTCCCCATTGTGGGAGGGGCAGCAGAGACACAAACCACCGGGGGAATCTCCCCATTGTGGGAGGGGCAGAGACACAAACCACCGGGGGAATCTCCCCATTGTGGGAGGGGCAGAGACACAAACCCCTACTTGTGGGGGGGCATCTAGCGTCTATTAATCTAGGTCTATTATCGGACAGCAGAATGTTTGTGGTAGCCCAGCAGAGATGCATTGTTTGTAGGTGAATGCGCCATTATTGGAGAACGCTCACCTCCAGCCAGACTTCGCAGAAACAAGTCCAGGAGAGGAATGGTCAGTCTCTGATGGCGCAGTCGGTGTTCATCGATCTGGGTGAGGACCGTCTGTAGGGAGAGGTAGACCCATAGAACGAGATTAGAGGAATAGGAGAACATGCTGGCTCCCTGAAGGGCCAATCCCAAATGATGTCCTGTATTGGAAGGTGTCATTAGATATGTAATGCAATATTTCCATATAAACAAGATCAGTAATCCATAGCTCCGCCCACAACTGGGCAAGAGGCTGCAATTTCTGCTTTGGCTCATTCCCCGATGGGGGAGGGACATTTAGCCATGTTCTTGGGGGATTCCCTCTCCCAGCTATGCCATTATTTCTCTTGGCTCTGGTTGGTTTCTAGATGTTTTATCTGGCCCCTTCCATCCACTTCTCAGGTGTGTGTGTCGGGATGGGCGGAGTTTTGCACCTGTGACCAATAGTCGCATGTAAGACCATTTGTGGGTGGAGAGTATGGAGTCTGCCATTTCTTTGTCTGGTATTGATGTTGGGCGGAAGATATCTGTCTAGATTACTATGGACACCATTTTTATATCATGAAAGCCAGAGCAGCCAATCCTGAAGAAGCAGGTGTGACAGGAGTGACTTTGGGTGGGGGGCCCATGGAACCCAGCTCACTTTGGGTGGGGGGCCCATGGAACACGGCTCACTTTGGGTGGGGGGCCCATGGAACACGGCTCACTTTGGGTGGGGGGGCCCATGGAACACGGCTCACTTTGGGTGGGGGGGGGCCCATGGAACACGGCTCACTTTGGGTGGGGGGCCCATGGAACACGGCTCACTTTGGGTGGGGGGCCCATGGAACACGGCTCACTTTGGGTGGAGGCCCCATGGAACACGGCTCACTTTGGGTGGGGGGCCCATGGAACCCAGCTCACTTTGGGTGGGGGGGCCCATGGAACACGGCTCACTGTGGGTGGGGGGCCCATGGAACACAGCTCACTTTGGAGAGGTGGGGAGACCCCTGTCTCAGCTCCCCATATCCCTCTTATGTGTAAGTCACCCTGTGCCTGTTAGGGGTGCAGGGGGATCCATCCTAATATTGGGGGGGGGGGGGTGTGGATTGTTTGGTGTCATGTGGCTGCATCCCATTGTTCTATTGTGTGTCTGGCTTGGGAGCAAACTATTATGGGATGTACGTGTTTATGTGTATTGGCTTGGTGGGGGGGGGCTCCAGCAGCACTCCTTCTTGATGGGACTGCCTGCTGATGGGTTTCTTGTTACTGGGTGTGTATTGCCCCGCCCTGTGTATATATCTTGTCTCTGTGTTACAACAAAGCAGTCTATTTCCTGTATGATCAGCGGTGGTGTCGGTGGATCTGTGTTCGGATGGGGAAGCGGGAGTCTAACGGAAATACCCGAGTGCAGTTGGGGTCCGGTTCCGTTACAGCGGGTCAGAGAGAGGCGATGATGGAGGGGATGCCGGCTCATGGATTCCTTCATTTCTGATGTATTCATAGAACACATGGATGGTACACAAAGCGGTTCGGAAGGTTTCCCCATGGGGCACGTTATACTTCCTCTATGGAATATGTAACATGTAAGGCAGTGAGGAGTTTTATTACTGAGGTCAAATACACATTTATTGAGATTTCTTTAACAATTTTGATTTTTATTTTTGCATTATTAAAAATTGATACACAGTTTTTAAATATACTGTCTATACAATATGCTTCTCTGAGCTGAGAGGGGAAGCGAAGACCGAGGAGAGCAGACAGGGGGATGGGGAGTACATTCACTGAGGGTGTGAAGGAGAGCTGGAAAGGGAGTGGCATGAGAGTGTCTCCTGGGGAGAGGACATGAGGTGTGGGAGGTGGAATCTCACCTGGGGAGAGGACAATGGGTGTGCCGGTGGTGGAATCTCACCAATGGGTGTGCCGGAGGTGGAATCTCACATGGGGATGAGGACAATGCCGGAGGTGGAATCTCTCACCTGGGGTGTGGGAGTGACCATTGAGAAATGGGTGTGCCGGAGGTGGAATCTCACCAATGGGTGTGCCGGAGGTGTGGAATCTCACCTGGGGTGCCGGAGGTGGAGAGGACAATGCGTGTGCCGGAGGTGGAATCTCACCTGGGGAGAGGACAATGCGTGTGCCGGAGGTGGAATCTCACCTGGGGGGAGAGGACAATGCGTGTGCCGGAGGTGGAATCTCACCTGGGGAGAGACCAATGGGTGTGTGCCGGAGGTGGAATCTCACCAATGGGTGTGCCGGAGGTGGAATCTCACCAATGGGTGTGCCGGAGGTGGAATCTCACCTGGGGAGAGACCAATGGGTGTGCCGGAGGTGGAATCTCACCAATGGGTGTGCCGGAGGTGGAATCTCACCAATGGGTGTGCCGGAGGTGGAATCTCACCTGGAAGAGACCAACGTGTGTGCCGGAGGTGGAATCTCACTTTGGGAGAGAGGCCAATGCATGTGCCAGAGGTGGAATCTCACCTGGGGAGAGGCCAATGCGTGTGCTGGAGGTGGAATCTCACCTGGAGAGAGACCAATGGGTGTGCCACAGGTGGAATCTCACCAATGGGTGTGCCGGAGGTGAAATCTCACCTGGGGAGAGACCAATGGGTGTGCCGGAGGTGGAATCTCACCTGGAGAGACCAATGTGTGTGCCGGAGGTGAAATCTCACCTGGGGAGAGACCAATGTGTGTGCCGGAGGTGAAATCTCACCTGGGGAGAGACCGATGGATGTGCCGGAGGTGGAATCTCACCTGTTGAGAGACCTGTGTGTGTCCTGGAGGTGGGTGTGCCGGATCTCACCTGGTGAGAGACGCACCTGTGTGTGTCCTGGAGGTGGAATCTCACCTGATGAGAGACCAGTGTGTGTGCCGGAGGTGGAATCTCACCTGGTGAGAGACCAGTGTGTGTGCCGGAGGTGATGGAATCTCACCTGATGAGAGACCAGTGTGTGTGGGGAGAGGAGGTGGCATCTCACTTGGGGAGAGACCCATGGATGTGTAGGAGAAAAAAATCTCACCGGGGAGAGACCAGTGTGTGTGTGTCAGAGGTGGAATCTCACCTGGAGAGAGACCAATGGGTGTGCCGGAGGTGAAATCTCACTTGGAGAGAGAGCCGATGGGTGTGCCGGAGGTGGAATCTCACCTGGGGAGAGAGACCCGATGGGTGTGCCGGAGGTGGAATCTCACCTGGAGAGAGCCCAATGGGTGAGTGCCGGAGGTGGAAATCTCACCTGGAGAGAGACCCACCTGGGTGTGAGACCCATGGGTGTGCCACAGGTGAAATCTCACCTGGGGAGAGACCAATGGGTGTGCCACAGGTGGAATCTCACCTGGGGAGAGACCAATGGGTGTGCCACAGGTGGAATCTCACCTGGGGAGAGACCAATGGGTGTGTCAGAGGTGGAATCTCACCTGGGGAGAGACCAATGGGTGTGCCGGAGGTGGAATCTCACCTGGGAGAGAGGTGTTGGCCAATGGGTGTGTGCCGGAGGTGGAATCTCACCCTGGGGAGAGACCCAATGTGTGTGCCGGAGGTGGAATCTCACCTGGAGAAGAGACCAATGGGTGTGCAGAGGTGGAATCTCACCTGGGAGAGAGACCAATGGGTGTGCCGAGGTGGAATCTCACCTGGGGAGAGACCAGTGTGTGTGGGGAGAGACCCATGTGTGCAGGAAATCTCACCTGGGGAGAGACCATGTGTGTGCCGGAGGTGGAGGAGACCAATGGGTGTGCCGAGGTGGAATCTCACCTGGAGAAAGATCAATGGGTGTGTCAGAGGTGGAATCTCACCTGGGGAGAGACCAATGGGTGTGTGTGCAGAGGTGGAATCTCACCTGGGGAGAGACCAATGTGTGTGTGCAGGAGGTGGAATCTAACACCTGGGGAGAGACCAGGGTGTGTGCTCACCTGGGGAGAGACCAATGTGTGTGGGTGGAATCTCACCTGGAGAGAGACCAATGGGTGTGCCGAAGGTGGAATCTCACCTGGGAGAGACCAATGGTGTGTGCCGGAGGTGGAATCTCACCTGGGGAGAGACCAATGTGTGTGCCGGAGGTGGAATCTCACCTGGGGAGAGACAATGGGTGTGTGCAGAGGTGGAATCTCACCCTGGGGAGAGACCAATGGGTGTGCCAGGAGTGCCAGAGGTGGAATCTGGAATCTCACCTGGGGAGAGAGACCAATGGGTGTGCCGAAAGTGGAATCTCACCTGGAGAGAGGCCAATGGGTGTGCCCGGAGGTGGAATCTCACCTGGGGAGAGACCAATGTATGTGCCGCAGGTGGAATCTCACCTGGAGAGACCAATGTGTGTGCCGGAGGTGGAATCTCACCTGGGAAAGATCAATGGGTGTGTCAGAGGTGGAATCTCACCTGGGGAGAGACCAATTGGTGTGTGCCGGAGGGTGTGTGTGCGAAAGTGGAATCTCACCTGGAGAGAGGCCAATGGGTGTGCCGGAGGTGGAATCTCACCTGGGGAGAGACCAATGTGTGCCGCATGTGCCAATGGTGGTGGATTCTCCCCTGTGGAGAGACCAATGTGTGTGCCGGAGGTGGAATCTCACCTGGAGAAAGATCAATGGGTGTGTCAGAGGTGGAATCTCACCTGGGGAGAGACCAATGGGTGTGTCAGAGGTGGAATCTCACCTGGGGAGAGACCAATGTGTGTGCAGGAGGTGGAATCTAACCTGGGGAGAGACCAGTGTGTGTGCCGGAGGTGGAATCTGACCTGGAGAGAGACCAATGGGTGTGCCGAAGGTGGAATCTCACCTGGGAAGAGAC